GACGGCCACATTCCACGAACAAAGCGCCTCGTTTCTTTTCGTCATCCTCATACCGTCGAGAGACCCAGGCATTGCCCATTGTCTTGTACCTGAGTTCTAAGACCACCGAATCTCACGACAGACCGCTTCGCACGCTTCGCGACGCTACCGCTCCTACGACTGGTCCATAAACAGGGAGTCGTCTGTTCTGCGATACACCCTCTCAGTTTCTTCGAGCACCTTGTCGCCATGAGAAATCAAACATGACCTCAACACGCTCGACCTTTTGACTGCCCGCGATCCAGTCGACATGGCTCCCAATAACAACCCCTCGTCACCCGCCAGTTTGGCGCTGGCACTCCCCGACCTGAGACGGCCTCGACGCGACTCTGTGGCCTCGATATCGACTACTTCACAAGTCGACAAAGAGCAGCTAGCCCAAACTCTTAACAAGATACATAATTCTGCCAGTCAAAGCGACACCTTGACGACCTTCAACGACTTCGGTCCACCCCCATCTACCTTGCCCATTGCCGAAAATAAGGGACTCGCCGGGGACTTGGTCCAAAATGGCTTCAGTGGGCTGTACAACAGATTGAAGGAGGCTGTGGGAGGTGCTCCTTTGAGGATGCCGGACGTGGACGAGGACACCCCCAGTATTGCTTCCAAGAAAAGCTCGTCAACTACAAACACGGCTCCCAAACCAATAACGGCGTCACTTCACCGCGGCGAAACTGCCGGCACAAGCTCGAGTTCAGTCCTGCCATCCGATGGTCTCCTCACCAGCCTCTCTAGTTCTGGAGCCGTCCTGCCCGAAGCAGACAGTCCTCTACAGACTCCCATGTCTACTAAATCAACCGCCATGTCTGTCATGACGGCCTCTAGATCTACCACTTCGAGCAGACCCGCTGCTGTGAGCATGCCCAAAGCATCGGCTGTCACTGCAGTTACACCCGATGTCGCACCTGCTTCTGTGCACCGAGACCCTAGTCAGCAGACTGTTCGGTCAGAGGATACTCTTTTGCGGTCGTCTGGAAGACGTAGCATCAGCAAGTCGGATGCGCGTGGGCCGATATTCGCAGCAGAGAATGCCAGCCTTTATGAAGACTTCAAGGCCACCTCTGAGCGAGCGCAAAGCCAAAGTACCAATCGTTCACGAAAAGATGATGTGGTCAGCGTGGATGGCAGTGTTGACACACCTTTGAGCCCGACAAAATCCGTCACACCATCTCTGCCCTCTTTAAAGACTGACCTGCGCCACGTGCGAACTCCTTCTGGCGGCTCATTGCTATCAGCCCCAAGGCGGCCGGCGGTGATCAATAGAATCACACGTTCTCGGTCTCCGGCCTACGCTCACTCGAGAACTTCTTCGATGGACCAGGGAACCGCAGAGCCCAGCCCAGTCAGCACCTCGGCGCACACTCCGATATACCATGAATCATTTTCTCACGAGTCGAGGCCTCAACAGATGAGATCTGGGGCCATGCGCATTCCTGGTACGACAAGAAATGAGGGAGCTCCAGAAGAGGTCAATACAAAACTCGGATTGATGCGAAAGCAGATTCTGAGCAAAGAATTCTGGATGGCCGACGAGACCTGCAAGGAATGTTACTCTTGCCAGCAGCCGTTTTCTGCATTTCGGAGAAAGCATCATTGTCGAGTTTGCGGTTTTATCTTTGACTCGAAATGCACATCGATCATTTCAGCCCAAATGTTTGCCATGTCGGGGACTTTGAGGCTCTGCAAACCATGTCTCAAGGTACTCAACCAAGTCGAAGACAGTGCCTCGGACGACTCAGGGGACGACTCTTTCTTGCCTGCCATCTTCCGTCCGAACCATGCCAAGGCTGAGGCCGAGGTGACAGAAGTCGATGTGGAAGGCGAAGAGACAAGCTTTGCTGGTAGGATGGAGGATCTCGACGATGCCAGATCTATATCAACGCCAATGATGGCCATCCCAGCGACCAGAAGGATTGGAATCGACGATTCGAATCGGAGATCAGCCATCCTGGAAATCGACGCCCCGCAGCTCAGTAGACCCAGCTCCTCCCGATCTCTCAAGTCACTCAATGCAGCAAGGCCTCAATCATCAGGTTTGGGCCACCGAAGACACCACTCAAGACAAAATTTCTGGTCGAGATTCAAGCCCATTCCAGACAATACTGCTCCTTTCCGCAAGGACGTCAATGAGGAGATGACGCGCAAACAAAAGTATCCGGCATTTCACGAAGACAACATCATCGACCCAGAACTGGCAGATTACATGTCAGACGAATCAAGTGGAGACGAGCAAATGAGCATGTTCGCAACCATGTCGAACAGCGATCTGCAACCTTCAAGCTTTGATCGGGAGAAGAGCAACTTTGGCTCGTTCATCGGCGCGACTAGAAAGCATCGCTTCCGAGGAGGAGAGAAAAGTCTCAGTGGCATCAGCTTCACCAGTCGCGGCGGCCCCGACGATACCGGTCTTGGTAGTCTTGCTGGTCATATACGATCATCTCGCCGGCGCAATCTCAGCAACGTGAGCGGCAACGTACATTATCTTCGCTCCCCGAGACCAAAATCATCCGCGCTCAAAGGACCTACTATATCTAATGACACTATTTTCTCGCCAGAGAATCCAGCGATCGAGGCAACAAAGCTCACTCGTAGCGACTCGATGCAGGAAGAAGATAAAGAACCGCAGGTTGAGCTCAACTCTTCCAGCATGCTGCATGTGAGAAAGTTACTCCATCAACTTTTGGAAGATTCTAAAGTACCCAACGCCTCTGCTTGGGAGAAGGCACTGATTCCTATTCTGCTTCAATGCACTGACGATGTTGTGCCTGATATTCGCGCCGGCGATGACATGGACATCCGTCACTACGTCAAGCTCAAAAAGATTCCTGGCGGCAAACCAGGAGATACCAGTTATGTATCTGGTGTCATATTCACCAAGAATTTGGCCCTCAAAAGCATGCCACGCCGGATTGTCAATCCACGCATCGTTATTGTGTCCTTCCCAATCGAGTATCAGCGCCATCACCAACATTTCATGAGCTTACAGCCTGTTATCGAGCAAGAAAAAGAGTATCTGAGAGTTGTGGTAAACCGCATCATCAACTTGCGACCTGATGTGCTGTTGTGCGAGAAGGGCGTTTCAGGTGTTGCTTTGCAATATCTAGCCGAAGCCAATATTGCCGTGGCCTACAACGTCAAGCCATCTGTCACATCGGCCGTGTCAAGATGTGCCGAGACCGACATCATCACTTCTCTCGATCGCTTGGCCCTTCAGAACCAGGCCGGCCGATCAGCTGGTTTTGAAGTGAAGACCTATGTCAATAAAAGCTATCCTGGAAAAAAAAAGACCTACATCTTCCTCTCGGGTTGCGCCGAACAGCTGGGGTGCACGATAGCCTTGCGCGGAGACTCAACTCAAGTCCTCGCCAGGATGAAGAAGATTACCGAGTTCATGGTATATGTGGTTTACAACCTGAAGCTCGAAACGTGTCTCATGCGGGATGAATTCATTCAGTTGCCATCAGAGGGCGAGCTCCCGTCCCTACAATCATCTATTCGTCCGCAAACCGATGACAGCTCAAGATCAATGAGCATGTCAGGCGAGACGGGCCGACTTGGATCGACTGCATCCCAGACATCCCCAATGGAGTCTGAGCCGCCGTCGCAGACAAGTCAGAGTGTTTCTTTTACCGGATCAGCAGGAGCGCACTCTGATCAAACGGAAGAGCAGCGACCGGCGGAGCCCGTACGGACTGTCTCTCTCCATGCCTCGCATGTTGCCACTGAAGCTGCCGACACGCACGTACCTGAGGACGTCCCAATGCCGACCTATTACAGCGATATGGTAGCCAGATACGAAACCAAGATCCTATCAGCTTCCCCTTTTGTACGATTTGCGCAGCCACACTTGTTGATGAAGGCGCGAGAACAAGAGCGGAGGCTAGTGTATCTCAAGCGTCTACGGGACCAAGACGTCATTGAGGAACAGGCAGATTCTGAGAAGAGATCACAGAAGTTTCAGCTCATCAAGCCTGAGATGGTCCATGAAATCGGCCAGAAGGCGCCCTCGGCAGATTATGGAGGTACTTCATGCGTCACGATGCTGAGTACGACAAGGCGCTCCACAACTACCAGACACAGACACGACAATGGAGAATTACATCCAAGGAACCTTGACTTTATTCGATCCTTATCTCACCAGGAACATTGTTGTCCTGTACTCTGTCATCTGCACCGAGACAAAGATTCCGTGTGCTGAGCCTGGACTAATTGCCATTGCGTTTTACGACGAGCACATGGACCAAAGTGGCAGCATGGATCCTGACTGTACTCTGGGTCAGTATATTGAAGATCTATGTCTCAGCAAAGACTCGATCTGTACGTCGAATGGTTGTGACCGCAAAATGACTGAGCATCATCGGACTTATGTCCACGATGAATCACGCATCACAGTCTTCATCGAGCCCGCAGCCACAAAGCCAAAATTCGTGACTGACGACATCACGATGTGGAGTTACTGCAAGGTATGCAAGAGGGACTCTCCTACGATGCCCATGTCAGACAGCACATGGAAGTACTCTTTCGGAAAATACCTGGAGCTCCTTTTTTGGAGCAAGGGCCTCAAACTTCACGAGAACACAGAGTGTTTCCACGACCACCACCGCGACCACATCAGGCTCTTCCAATTCCGCGAGACCTGGGTCCGGATCCATTATGACCCCATTGACTTGCTAGAGATTATTGTACCTCGAGCCCGAATCACTTGGAAAGTCGACAACGACTTAAAGCTGAAGAACCAAATCTTCAGTAAGATCGAGTCCAGGTGGATTCGTTTCATGACATCTGTCAAAGTCCGAATCAAGACAATTAGGGTCGATAGTGTCTTGCCAGAAAAGGCCGAATCCTGCAGGATCGAGGTCGACAGGCTCACGAAAAAAGCTCAAGACGACCAGGTTGCCGTGATTCGACGGCTTCAAGATGCTTATGTCAACTCAAAGTATTATGAAGTCATCCCCTTCAATCCGATCGTGAGGGAGATGCTTGAATATGCCGGAGAATGGGATACTGCGTTCAACCAGTTCGAGGCCGATTTCTTGGCCGATAAGGACTTGCGGCAGTTGACGATGCTGCAGCTGAAGAAAATCTTCACAGACAATGAATCAAAAGAGTCCGTTGCGTCAACTGAAGGGAGCATATCGACTGTCGACACCGGAGAGCCACCGTCACAGACATTTTCGGATACCGACGACAAGACCACGCAGCCAACAGACTTCAGCGACCCTAGTCTGGGCGGAAGTACTGACTTGGCAGATGACAATGCCGCCGAGAAGGCTCAACAGGAAGATCTTGATGCGCCAACCGAGCAAGTTTTGGAAAGAGTCGAGCCTCTCGACCTGGCAACACCGACATCTCCATCCACGACAAGGCCACCCCTCTCCACAATGGGCACAAATACCGATACGACCCCTTCAGCAGAGCCAGCCAAGGAGGTGGCCCCGACGGAGTCATTTGCGACCGGCTTTGCTAACCATGTCCAGCTTGACAACCAGCCCGGTGGTGTTTCGCTTTCCGAGAAGATTGAGCAGCTGAGACGTGAACACCAGGCTCTAGGTGCAGAGACGCCAACGTCTGATCATGTCCCCGAGACCCCCCGGGCGGACCGCGGATCATCCCGTAGAGCGGGAATGGCAGTGTCACCGCCCATGATTCGAGCAGCTTCACAGCCCATCCACACTTTGAAAAAGGTGCAGTCAGGCATTGGGAAGTCGATGCTTCAAAAAGATCCTAAAACACTGGCTGAAGCTTCTGAAACGGAATCTTCTTTCAAGGTCGACAAGAAGCTCTCTGAGCGACTAGGCCTGGGAGGTGTGCGAGGCCACAAGAAGACTGCTCAATCGTCAATCCCCCGATTCGTTCACAAGAAGAAGGAATCCAAGGTTTTTGCCATTGCCAAGCATTTCGAGCAACTCAGTCGCGAGTTCGAGAAAGAAAGAATTCGAGAAGACAAGAAGAAGCGCGCTGCACGTCAGCCACGTGCCTTCCTACCACGCACATCGACCAAGCCCATTGTAGAGGTTTATGACGATGTTGACGATGCCGTGCAGGAGCTTGAGCCGTCAGACTACGAGGGCCCAGACGAAGGTGGCCACGATTTCGAAAGCAGCGCAACGACGCCCATGCTCAGGACTGCGCAGACGGCACCTGTGACGCCAGCCGCAAGGTTGGACGTATCAGAGCCGTCGCTAGAGAAGACGCCTCCAGTTCCACATGATGATGGGCACACTGGTGGCGAGACGGACGACACTGGCACTGTCAATCATAGTGTAGGGGGGTCGGATGAAGAGTGCGGAGGAAGTGACAATGAGCGAAGCCTGGACGACATTCTACCTGACGTTAAAGAGCTGGCAGATGCTCTAGAGCCCAGCACAGACATTCCCCTCGAACTGCCCAAGCACCAGAAGAAGAGTCTGATGAAGCTCCTCACCAACTTCTGGGCCGAACGCTCTGCAAGTGGCTGGCCGATTCTCGATTATCCCGTCAACCCTAGCGATCACATTTTCATCGACTCAGATGTAATTGTTAGAGAAGACGAACCCAGCTCTGTCATTGCTTTTGCAATGAGCTCGGATGACTATCTAGGCAAGCTCGCCGATATCCGCAAGCAATGGCAGATCGCCATTCAGAAGGGCTACGAGGCAGGCAGTACTGATGCCAAGTCATCGGGCATATCGGACACAGGCGGAGAGTTTGTCGAGGCCGACCTGGAGAAAAGCCTGCTCAGGGCCACGGGCACGCATCTGAAGTACCAGTTCAAGGAAGGTACGGCTACGATGATGTGCAAGATTTTCTACGCCGAACAGTTTGATGCATTGCGGCGCAAGTGCGGCGCGTCAGATCGCATCGTTGAGTCGTTGTCTCGCTGCCTCAAGTGGGATTCAAAGGGTGGCAAGACAAAATCCGTGTTTCTCAAGACGCTTGACGACCGTCTCGTGTGTAAGGCTCTGTCTCCAATCGAAACGGCAGCATTCCTCCGGTTTGCGCCAGCGTACTTCGGCATCATGGCAGAAGCGCTCTTCCACGATCTACCTTCGGTCATTGCAAAGATGCTGGGATTCTTCCAGATCATCATCAAGAACCCAGTGACAGGTGTCGAGATCAAGTTAGATTTGCTGGTCATGGAAAACCTGTTCTATGACCGTGCGCCGAGTCGGATCTTTGATCTCAAGGGATCCATGCGCAACCGCAAAATTCAATCGACAGGCGAGCAGAACGAGGTCCTGCTGGACGAGAACATGGTTGAGTTCATATACGAATCACCCCTATTCGCGCGAGAGCATTCGAAGAAACTTCTCCGTGCGTCAGTGTGGAACGACACGTTGTTCCTTGCGCGGCAGAACGTCATGGACTACTCGCTGATGGTTGCCGTTGACGAGGTCAAGAAGGAACTCGTCGTCGGCATTATCGACTGCATCCGCACGTATACCTGGGACAAGAAATTGGAGAGTTGGATCAAGGATCGCGGGTTCGTGGGTGGAGGAAGGAATCGTCCCACTGTGACGAGTCCGAAGGAATACAAGTCACGATTCCGAGAGGCCATGGCGAGGTATGTCGACCCGACGGCTCGATCATGATCTGGCGTGTTAACTGGTGATATAGGTACATCTTGCAAGCACCCAATTGCTGGCACCAGTTTGGGGCACCGCATCTGGCCAACACGGTCCGGCCACGGTTTGAGAACGACGGCAACCCAGAGTAGGAACTGATTGGAGGCCCTGATGATGACCGGAGAATGAGTGAGAGGCTGTTGGCGGCACAAATCACGGCCAGCGACGAGTTATTTCAGTGAAGGCGTTTAGCATAGCAAATGGACTGGCGGTTAGGTACAGGGCATCGGCGGCGTGGGAGTTGGACCTGGACAAGAGTAATGTTGCTCACAATGGTAACTGTGGCAGCCATACGTAATTCTGTCATTTCAGCTGTTTGATGAAGACTCTGATCGATGACTATGACTTTTTTTTCGAGAGAAGTCGGCTCTCCGGAGCTCACTTGCTTAATAAAGAGCACGTTGATTCCCGGTATTTGTATTGACCAGATTTGCGAAGATAGTCAGGGCCTCTCTATGATAGAGGTTGCTTGGAGCCCCCTTTCAGCCTGCGGTTGTTGGTCGTTGACAGGCACAGTCGATGGAGAGGAAGGACCCACTAAAGTTGAACCTCAACTTCAACCTCATTCCATCATCACATCTATCTCACCAAACCGAAATACCCACAGTCCTTCGAGCCACTGCGCGCTCTTTCTCTTCTCGGTCTGTCTCGTATTTTCAGAAGCGCCTCATGTCAGTAGATCTCAACTGGGAGACCCTCACGTCGGGCCCAGACGGCGAGGCGCTCGCGCTTCGCATCCGCGATTTCATCCACGAGAAGTTCCAAGCAGTCCAGCTGCCGCGCTTCATCAAGTCAGTGACGGTTCACGACTTTGAGTTCGGCTCCATACCGCCGAAACTCGAGCTCAAAGACATTACCGACCCTTTACCAGACTTTTACGAGGAGAATGAAGATTATGACGACGACGATTCAGACGATGGCCAGGACAATGATGCAGCGGAGGAGCTGAGAGCGGCGGCGGCAAGGAGGCATCAACATCAGCACGAGAGCCACCAGCGCGACAGCAGCGCGCATCTTCCTTCAAGATTCCACAACCACGGCGCGAGCTCACCTTCGCGGGGCCTCATGGCTGGCGACCTCACGAGCCCCTTTCTCGGCGTTTCGACACCAGGCATTCTCAGCGGCGCCTCCAATCTGCATTACTTTCAAAGCCACCTCGGCTCCGGCTGGTCAGGCACCCACACACCACTGGCCGCCGTCGCTGGAGGTGGCAACAGCTGGATGGACGCCTCGGCCGTCTCCTCGCCAGGGCCCTCCCCGCTCCGCGGCACCCCGACCTACCCCAGCCATAGCCGCAACCCATCCCAGTCCTCCGTCCTGTCCGACATGGCGCCTGCCTTTGCCCCGCTGACGCCGCAGAACCCCCATCCTCTGTCGTCCGCAAATCACTTCCTGCGCGAGAAGTCGTCCGTCTCGACCCTGGCACCCACATCCGTCGGCACGTCCCGACCCCCGACGCGCGATCCTGCCTGCGCCATCGACGAAGAGGGCGACGACGGGGACCAACGGGCCAGCAAGGAACCAGCAGTTCTCGCCGCCGTCAAGGCGAGGGCGGACGACCCGCCGCCTCGCTTCCGCGAGCCCCGGCCCGACGACCTGCAGGCCGTCTTCCGCATCCGCTACGCCGGCGACGTGCGGCTGCGCCTCACGGCCGAGATCCTGCTCGACTACCCGATGCCCAGCTTTGTCGGGATCCCCGTGCAGCTCTCCGTCACGGGGCTGACCTTTGACGGCGTGGGCGTCGCGGCGCACATACGCAAGCGACTGCACTTTTGCTTCCTGAGTCCCGAGGACGCCATCACGGCTGTGGGGCTGCCGGAGGATGATGATGACGACGATGACGAAGACGACGACCACGGGCAGGCCCGGCGCGGCGCGGCGGGCGAGAAGAGGCGATTCGGGGGTCTATTGCAAGAGATACGGGTCGAGAGCGAGATTGGGCTCCGCGAGAGCGGCAAACAGAGCCTCAAGAACGTGGGCAAGGTGGAGAGGTTTGTGCTGGAGCAGGTGAGGAGGATATTCGAGAACGAATTCGTGTATCCCAGCTTCTGGACCTTTCTCGTCTAGGCCGCCCCCGTGGTCACGAGTGCAGCAGTCGATTCGCAGAGACACAGAACAGCATGGATAGGACAGATACGCTCAGTGAAGTGATGGAGAAATGGAGGGCGCAAATTGACATGGTCCACGCCGCCGTGCCCGCTCTATGTAGCTATCTATGTCAGGGTGCTCTTGAAGCCCTGGTACGCCTGCTGAATATCCATCTCAATCTCGCGCGCCTGCGCGTCGCTCAGCTCGTCGGTGGCCTTCATCTGATTCAGCGTGATGAGCCACTGGACAATCTTGCCGCGGTTGTCAAAGTCGCGGTCGGTGACCTTGTTGACGGACTGGATGACGTCGGAGAGCAGCGGGTGGAGCTGGTCCTTGCTCAACAGGCCGAGCTTGACGGCATCGAGGAAGGTGATGAACTCCTGCGTCGCCTCGAGAATGAGGGCGCCGCTCGTCGTGTTGCCGGGCGCCGGGGCCTGCGCGGGTGCCGAGCCAGAGGAGGCGGTCACGGTCGTCGAGGGCATGCCGACACGAATGCGCTCTGTTGCGCGGGGGACTTCGAGCTGCAAAGAGGAGAAACAAGACACGTCAGCCGTGTTTTTTTCCTTCGTAGAGGGGCGACCAGCATGAGACAGGGGGGGCAGGAGAGTCAGGGTAGGCATACATCCCACTCGGCCTTGAATTCTTCGAGCCCGACGAAAGCAGTGGCGACCGTCTCGTCGGTCAGGATGGACTTGTACTGCTTCAGCGAGCGTTCGCAAATCTCCGTGTAGTCGGCCTCGGGGACGGCATCTTTGAGGAAGGCCTTTTCGAGCTCGTCGAGGGTGACGATGATGCTGAAGATCTCGGCGAGGGAGTCTTGAAGGTCGCGCTCGGCGCGTGTCTCGGTCAGCTTGACTTCCTGGGAGACGTTAGACGTTAGACATTAGATTCATCGCGACTGGTCCAGACTCGGCCCAGAGGAAGCTTGGCCGTTTTGGAGGGGGGAACACATACCTCATCGAGGTTGATTGTGGCAGAGAGGGTGGTATTCGGGATGTAGCTATGCGGCGTCGGCGCATAGGCTTGCCGGGGGTTCATGTTTGCGGCTCGAGTTGTATCCTCAGGCGCGTCATGGTGAGGTGGCCGAAGAAGAGAAGCTCGTTTTGATGACCCTCAATGGTGTCTCGGGGTTGCTGGTGCTGGTACTGCTGCCTGGGCATGCCAGGTGTGGACTGAAGGAGGGGGGGGGGAGAGATCTTGGATGTTGGTCGCACCAACGTCACGAGGGGCAGCGAGGAGGAGCACAGCTCCAGCGGCTTTCCAGAGCACTGGACCGCTGAGGCCACTGAGAGGAGTGACCCCGCCTGCGCCGAGCTCAGAGCTCGAAGGCCCGCACGCGCGCTTATCGTTATCGATAAGTTCATGTTCGTCCAAACCGAGCCAACGCCCAAAAAGAGGCTCCTTATCGTTATCGCGAAGAAAAAAAATGAACTTGGTCCGCTGCTTGTCCCGCCAATTGCCTAGACAGCCAGCTTCGATCGACTCCATCGACCGTCGCAGCTCGAACACGACCACCACACTTCGAGCAAGCACCAGTCGCCCATCATGCCTCCCTCGAAGAAGAAGCTCAAGGCCACGAAAAAGTTCGAGAAGAACCATCTCTCCGGCGTCCTGAAGAAACGCAAGGAGGACGCAAAGGTCAAGCAGCGGTACGCTCTCCAGGCGAAAAAGGCTGGCAAGAAGACGAGGGAAGATGCGAGCTTCTTCAAAGGCCCCAAGGAGGAGGGCGCCCCCAAGCCCCATTCGAACAAGAAGGATGCCAACGTCAGCGCCATGAGCGTCGACGACTTCTTCAAGGGCGGCTTTGAGGACATTATCGACAAGGCGCCCAAGGGCGGCAAGCTGGGCAAGAGGAAACGCGATGCGCCCAACGGCAAGGCCAAGGCGCCCAAAGCCGACGACGATGACGAGGAGCAGGCCGGCTCCGAGGACGAGGGAATGTCTGACATGTCCCTAGAGGACCAGCCCGTCGTCAGCGACAGCGAGGATGGTGCTGACGACAGCGACATGGAGCTGGACGCCGAGGACGGCGAGATGAGCAAAAAGGCCATGGACGACCTCGCCAAGAAGGACCCTTCGTTTTACAAGTTCCTCAAGGAGCACGACCCCGAGGCCCTCGACTTTGACGAGAACGCCGACATGGCCGAGATTGACGACCTGAGCGCCGGCAGTGACGCCTCCGATGACGACCAGCCCAAGAAGAAGCGTAAGAAGGACAACAACAAGAAGAAGAACAAGAAGGATGTGTCTGAAGACGACGAGGCGACAGCAGCTGACAACGAGCTCACGCGCGAAATGGTTGCCAAGTGGAAGGAGCTCATTGTCGAGAAGAAGTCGTTGCGTGCTGCTCGTCAGGTCGTCTTGGCCTTCAAGTGCGCCGCGCATCTGAACGAGGACGATGCCGAGGATGGCAAAAACAACCGCTACACCATCAACAGCCCCCAGGTCTTTCACGACATTCTCATCGTCGCCCTGCGCCAGATCCCCGAGGTCATCGCCCACCACCTGCCCTCGAAGGAGTCGGCTGCCGGCAAGGTCTATGTTTCCACCGAGACGAAGAAGTTCCAGACGCTGTCCATCATGCTCAAGACGTACACAGCCTCCATCATCCACCTCCTCGGCACTCTGTCCGACGACGCGACCCTCAAGCTGACGATTGGTGCTCTCGAGCCCCTTCTCCCCTACCTGCTCTCCTTCCGCAAGCTGCTCAAGGCGCTCATCAAGTGCATCGTCAACTTCTGGGCGCGGCCCGCCTCCTCCGAGGCTACGCGAATTACCGCCTTCCTCGTGCTACGCAAGCTCATGGTCATCGGCGATGCCGGCCTCCGCGAGGTCGTCCTCAAGGCCGTCTACCAGGGTCTCGTTCAAGGCTCCCGTGTCACCAACGCCAACACCATTCAGGGCATTAACCTCATGAAGAACTCTGCGGCCGAGCTCTGGGGCATCGACCAAAACGTCGGCTACACGACGGCCTTTACCTTTATCCGCCAGCTCGCCATTCACCTCCGCAACAGCATCGTGAACAACAAGGACGCCGCCTTCAAGGTCGTCTACAACTGGCAGTACACGCACTCGCTCGACTTCTGGTCCACCATGCTCGCCCAGCACTGCACGCCGCTGACCGAGGCCGAGGCCGGCAAGCCGTCGCAGCTCAAGCTCCTCGTCTACCCCCTCGTTCAGGTGACCCTGGGCGCCACGCGCCTCATCCCGACCGCCACCTTCTTCCCTCTCCGCTTCCACCTCATCCGCTCGCTGCTGCGCATCTCGCGCGCCACCAACACGTACATTCCGCTGGCCGCTCCCATCCTCGAGGTCCTCGAGTCGGCCGAGATGAAGCGCGCCCCCAAGGCGGCGTCGCTCAAGCCGCTCGACTTCCGCGTCGCCTTCAAGGCGCCCAAGGCCTACCTCCGCACGCGCGTCTACCAGGACGGCGTCGGCGAGCAGGTCGTCGAGCTGTTTGCCGAATTCTTCGCGCTCTGGGCCAAGAACATTGCCTTCCCCGAGATGGCCCTCCCCGTCGTCATCCAGCTCAAACGCTGGCTCAAGCAGGCACGCCGCGGCGACAAGGGCGCCAGCTCGAAGAAGTCCCAGCGCGGCAACCAGAACGGCAAGCTCGGCAGCGCCATTGTGCTGCTCGTGCAGAAGATCGAGGCCAATGCCAAGTTCATCGAGCAGCGCCGCGCCCAGGTTGACTTTGCGCCCAAGGACCGCGCCCAGGTCGACAACTTCCTGCGGGACCTCGAGTGGGAGAAGACGCCGATCGGGGCGTTTGTCGCCGTGCAGCGCAAGCTGCGGGCGGAGAAGCTCAAGATGATGGAGGAGGCAAGGCGAGAGGACGATAGGCGGAGGAAAGAGGAGAGGGGTGATGTTGACGAGCCCGAGGAAGAGGAGGAGGAGGAGGATGAGGAGGAGTATGCGGATGAGCTGATGGACGAGGATGATGAGGACGAGGACGATGAGTAGGCTTGATTCTCCACGAGGATGTATCGTTTAGATGTCTTGTTCCCGGTATACCTCTGGCGTTTAATCGTGTACCTTTTTTTCATCACGCTGTTCGTGACTTGGTCTGATGTTGGTATAACGCGATGGAGCTATGAAGCTATCGACTGTTCATGCGAAGCCACTCATAGGATCTCGTTTGACATTATGTACTTGGTTGGCTCATTGCATCATCAGCCAGCTGCCAGCAACGACTCGTTGTGCGTCCATCATTCACCAGCGGTTATTTTGGCAGTGATACTGCTGGAGACGGCGGTGTTGCACCGCTAGCATCAGGGGTGTCACATGCTGTAGGGCCCCTGGGGATCCGCCCAAATGAACCTACTTTTAGCGCCGTGTTAAGGCTGTGGTCACAGCCTCCGGCCCTCGTCATTGCCGTGACGTAGGAAGCTGCCGCATACTGCGCCGCAGCTCGAATGGGAAGGCAAGGCTGCCTCTCTCACATCAACCAACAGTCACTGGAGACAAACAGCCTGGCCTTATATCCCGCACATCATCTCCTGCCTGCCATTCTCTCTCAACAGCTACATATCTGGAAACTTCAAGTAGCAGATCAGTCTGGTGTACAAACCAGTCTCCGAGCGCCTGGCACATAGCAGCACCCCACCATGGCACCTCTGGCTGCGGATCCCCGCCAGATCCTGGTCGTCCTCGATGACACCAGGCGGCGCGAATTCTACACGCTGATTGAAGATATTATGAGACTCATGAGATCAGAGATAGACCCCACCGGCAATGATCGACATGATGGAGGTTGGCCGTCAGTCGCCCAGTGGGAGCAGCAGCAAAAGCAGCGCAAGCTGGCAGGCCGGCACGCATCGGAGCTCTCCTCCATCCGACAAGACGCCCTCGAGCACTTTGGCGACTGGCGCCAGGGGATTCTGAAGAAGCTCAAAGAAATCACGTCCGCCAAGGAGGACAAGAAGGTGCTCGAGGCCCGCAAAAATCGCCAGGACGAGGTCGCCAAGATGAAGGCCGCGTCGTCTGGCGACGAAGAAGACCTCATCACCCTCGGCGACACGGAGAACTCGTCCACGACAAACGCCAAGGACGTGGCCACCTTTCAGAAGCACTACCAGCCGGTGCCGACGAGCCTCACCGCCCTGCCTGTCGAGGACAGGCGTGAGCTGCTGAGCTCGATGCTGCTGGTCGTGCTGTCGACGGGCAACTACGCGGCCCACTCGCGCGTGCTTGTTCTACACCTTGCGTCATCCTTTGGTCTTCCTCTCGCCGTGCTCATCACGGAGGAGACAGAGATCGCCAAGTATCTCGTCGAAGCCTCTACCGCCAAGGGCGAGGACGGAACCACCAGCAAGAGCGCCGCTGCGGCATCGGCCATGTCTGGCGAGGCTGAGGCGACGAAGCGGCGTCAGAACAACCAGTCCTCTCGGTTTTGGAAAGTCGGTCTGGCATCCGTGGCTGGCGCGGCCGTCATCGGTGTCACGGGTGGTCTTGCAGCCCCTGCCGTCGCGGGAGTGATCGGCGGGATTATGGGCAGCGTCGGGCTCGGCGGTGTGGCGTCCTTCCTGGGCATTTTCTGGGCCAACGGTGCGCTCGTCGGTGCTCTGTTTGGTGCCTACGGTGCCAAGATGACGGGTGAGATGATGGATCAGTACGCAAAGGAGGTGGAGGACTTCCGCTTCTTGCCCCTCAAGGAGGAATACGGACAGGATGCGAAAGAGGCGACATCGGACGAGAAGAAGACGCGCCGCCTGAGAGTCACGATCGGCATCAACGGATGGCTCGAGAATGAAGTAGCCGTAACGAAGCCTATGGAAGGTCCTGGGGCGACGAGTCGGAGGTCTTCGCACTGCGATATGAGATGAAAGGCTCTCATTGCTTTGGGTGCCTCGCTTGAGGACCTGGTCAAGAGCTACGCCCTGGAAGTACGTCAAGCTGGAGATCCTCAAGAACACGGTTCTCGTGTCGCTTTCGGCCGTCCTCTGGCCTGCCTACCTTCTCGGGACAGCCTCCAACATCGACAACCCTTATAACCTTGCGCGCAATCGCTCTGAAAAGGCAGGCCGTGTCCTCGCGGATGCCCTCATCAACCGCGCGCAGGGCGAGCGGCCTGTCACCCTGATCGGATACTCTCTGGGAGCCCGCGCCATTCACTCGTGCCTCAAGACGCTCGCCCAGCGACGGGCCTTTGGTCTTGTCGACTCGGTCGTGCTCATCGGCGCGCCGACGCCGTCCGACACGGAGCAGTGGCAGGTTCTCCGTACCGTGGTCGCGGGCCGCATCTTCAACGTCTACTCGGAGAACGACTACATCCTGGGCTTCATGTACCGCGCCACATCGCTGCAACTCGGCGTCGCGGGCCTCCAGCCCATCGAGGGCGTCGACGGCCTCGAGAACTTGGATCTCAGCAAAGACGTGGCGGGCCACCTCCGCTACCCGGACCTGATCGCGCAGGTCTTGACCAAGTGCGGCTTCCCCGACGTCAAGGACGGCGAGGGCGAGATTGAGCGAGACAAAGACATTGAGCGCGCCAAGCAGGCGCAGCCGGATGACATGCCTGAGGAGGCGCGCGCCATCCAGGGCGAGAAGCCGAAGACTGGTGGCGGTGATGGTGGTGAGCAGGACGCGAAGGAGGACGAGCCGTCGCCCCCTCTGCCTCCGAGGAGGAAGACCGAGACGGGCGCCGGCGGGACGACATCGCCGCCTCCGTGGGCTTCGGACAGGAAAGAAGACCCTCTCCACTTGGGCACGGCAGGGATGAAACACGTGGAGCCACTCGCGGAGCAGGACTTGCCCGAGCGGCGCAAGCCTTGATTTTTGGCGATGGAGACATACATATTGGGGTGACAGGGAGCATGACCGATGACTTATATATATTTATGCCTATCTTGCTTACCCCGGGTAAGCTCATGGTTCATGATCGAGGAAAGTTCCGGCAAATGAGATGATGCACTATTGAATCTGCCCACCCTAGTTAAAGTGATGGTCTACGTACGATGTGGCGAAGGCCCAAGGCCAATCTCTACATCGAAGCACAGTCTCGACCCTTACTCCAGCTCACGATGGTGGCTAGTGATACCCTCTCCACTAAGTAAGGTCATGGCATGACAAACACTCGTCCTGGGCCGACTACTCTCATTGACAGAGAACCAACGCGCGCTCCGGACGTGGCGTGCTGCAGGGTCCATAGAAAACCACAGGCTAATTCAGTTGTTGCGGTGCCAGGTGGGAAGGGGAGGGCGGGTAGGCAACGTGGTTGGTCGCCAGCAGTCTTGCGGTCTGGAGCGAACGAAGGTGCTTGGGTATTTTCAGGTGTTTTGGGGTCAGCATCGCATCGAGCCGACGGCCACAAAGGGGGGCCCGAGGATGAATGCACCCGATCAGAAAAATCAGAGCAGAATGGGCGGGTTGGAAGTACGTGATCGCCGACCTTCGCACATGTGGCTCACCCTTTGCTGTGCCCACCTCGTCCCTTTCTACTTGGTCCCGTCAGATGCATGCGATGACAACCCCGGAGAGGAGGTCTCTCGGACGATCCCGTGGCCCAGGCCCTCGACGTGGCTGTTCTGGTGGATGGGTAGTCTTGTCTGTTCAGTTCATCGATCACCATATTGCCCCATTTCCATCGAAGGAGGGGGAGGGAAACAGCCCAAGGCACTTGTACCGCTCTGCCGTCTCGCCGCCACCTGAGGGGCTCCTCCACATAGTCTCGTTTTCCCCTCTGGGAGCATGTCGATATCGAGGTAGGTATCGAGGTACTGTAGTTAATAGGTGACTACCAGCGGTCGAGGCACCCTGCCGGATAGACGCCAGCAGCCTTGGCGGGGCCGCTCCACTGGACAACGCTGGACGACGGGGGCACAGGGGGGTGCCCGGTACTTGGTACCCGGTACGACGCCTGCCAGCTGCCTGCCCAGGTACCTCCCTGCCTGTCTAGGTGTCCTGCCTGCCTGCCTCGTAAGGTACCTTAGTTCGTTGTACAACTAGCCGACCCCCGCCGCTGCGTGCGGGAGGGCGGTCGCAGGCCAGGTCGGTAAAAGGGATTGGTCAGTAAGTACCCAGGTACATGAGCAGCAGCCAGCGCACATAGCAGCCAGCGGGCATGACAGACAGACACGGGCCTGACAGACAGACCCAGGCTTGACAGGGCCCCCTCGCCCACCCCGAGGGACAGGGACGTACCTACGGGAAAGAAGGGTCGGCTCCAGGGACTGGGAATGGGAATCCCATTTCGTGAGACGCCCCTTCCGTGTCTGTTCCTCCGCCACCTCATTCTTTTTCCTTCCATGCGAACGATCCCCTCAGACACCACCACGTCGTCGTTTCCTTCTGTTTCCCTTCTTCTTCTGCTTCAGTCTTGTGTTCTTCCTCCCTCTCTGCCTGTGCATCTCGTCTCCCACCCAACCTGACTCGGTCTCGTCGCCCATCCTGATCGTCCCAACGAACGAACCATCTTCCTCGCCCAACCAAGAGATCTACCCGACACACACCGAGCCGGACCCTCTCCTGTACGACCTACCCGTCTCAGGAGTAAGTCAGGTCGCGCCCAAGCCGCCGCACCTCCGCCCTTTGTCCGCCTGACCAACAGAATCTTTTCCAACCCAGAAGCCCAGACGCACCCCCTTCCCCCAAAAAAGACCAACAACACCGGCCAGAGGAAGATCCCAACTCCACACGACGACCACCTTGTGTGGTTTTCGCCCTTGCCGACGAACGGAAGGAAAAAAAGACTGGTCATCGCCAACCACATTTCCGCC